CTACATACATTAATTCTGTGTTCTTAATCATTCGCCAAGGTTTTACACAAAAAACTCAATTTCCCATAAGCCTTTGCACACGGAAGTCAGCTAATAGCGTTTGTGGTTGTGGAGGTCAGAAACCTAGGTATTATTAATCGAAATATATATGTATAATACATGCATGGATGTAACGAGGTTTGGTGGATAAAACCCTTTTCTAATTATCTAAAATGCTTATTTATTGATGGTTCCTGAATGTTGTGCCCCTCGACCCATAGGTGACATTACCACGAGACATCGGTAAGTGTTGCTATGTTATTGAATGGTACGTGCTTTACTTAACTCAGTGCTACCCAAAGTGGGGAATGGGGCGCAGAGCAATTGCAGGGCGGGCGCGGGACGAATGAATGAATGAACGAACGAAAATACATGCAGTTGGCGAAATGACATTAACATTGTCCGCTTGCCCAGAGCAACTAAAGATTTGGGACGGACTATAGTGCGCTGTTTTGAACGGCATCAGTCGTTCTAACCCCGGGAACAACTGCGGTGTATTGTGTTGACAACTGCTCCGCGAACGCACATCTGAGCGCGGACCATAGACGTGTTCAAGACCATCCCCCTGCGTCTACCCCCGCTTCTCCCCCCGCTTCTCCCATGCGTCTCTCCCCGCTTCTCCCATGCGTCTCTCCCGCGTCTCCTCGTCTTCCCGCGTCTCCCCGCGTCTCCCCTGCGTCTTCCCGCGTCTCCCCTGTGTCCCTACTGCGTCTCCCCCCTCTCCTGTTTCCAACCGAAGCTCAACCAAAACTCACGAAATTAAAGCTTGGGTACCTAAATTTTTCTTCGCATAAATAATTCATTGGTTATGCGCAAAAGTCAAATGTTGTGAACAAATCAAATAGAACACACACAACAGGCAATCTTGTTTTTTTATTTAGCATACTTATGAGTCATCATTTTACTCAAAAAAACGCTTGTGTACCAAAGTTCCAGAATCACTGACTAACCCATACTACAGGTGTTACGTCGGTTTCGAAATACACTGCCTCAGCTGTGTGATGTAATCATGGATCTATTATAATAACGGATGTAATGCAAATCCGCAGGTTCATGGTCTCATGGCAGCCGAAGCAAACCAGACTTTACGTCTGCAATCTTAAGTCATCTAAAGTGATTTATTCTTGAAGTTTAGATTCAAACTAATTAAGGCACAGATGTCACTCTTAATGCAATTTGAGGCAATATGTTAATAAAGAGCAGTTACAGACAAGACGCGTTTGTGTAATTAAGTCATTTTTAGAGTAATTATACGTTGTTGAAGCATATACACAAAACCTTTTGAAATGTTTATTTCAAAAGGCTATAACTTAAAAGTGACAAGAGATAAAGACTTTCTGTAAATTACAGAATTATTAAGGATGGCCAAAAGTTTATGTAGGGAATAAGTGCACCCATCTAATTAGCATATTATGACATCATATGGCGTTGGAAATTGTGGATTTTAGAATTTTCATAAAATGTTTCTCCCCTGCCCTCTCTCGTCTCCCCCGCTCTCACTCTCATCTCCCACGCTCTCTCTCATCTCCCCCGTTCTATCTCTCATCTCCCCTGCGCTCTCTCTCTCGTCTCCTCTGCTCTCTCTCTCATCTCCCCCGCTCTCTCTCTCATCTCCCCTGCTCTCTCTCTCGTCTCCCCCACTCTCTCTCTCGTCTCCCCCACTCTCTCTCTCGTCTCCCCCGCTCTCTCTCTCGTCTCCCCCGTTCTCTCCCTCATCTCCCCTGCTCTCTCTCTCGTCTCCCCCGTTCTCTCTCTCATCTCCCCTGCTCTCTCTCTCATCTCCCCGTTCTCTCTCTCATCTCCCCTGCTCTCTCTCTCGTCTCCCCCACTCTCTCTCTCGTCTCCCCCGCTCTCTCTCTTGTTCTCCCCCCACTCTCTCTCTCGTCTCCCCCGCTCTCTCTCTCGTCTCCCCCGTTCTCTCTCTCATCTCCCCCACAATATTTTAGCGGAGATTTTAGCAGAGGCTGGAGTCGCGGCGTGGTGCCCCGACGTGATTCCAGGCTTGTTCTCCGCAAATCTAACCTGTCTCCGAACCTCCCAATGACAGCCCTGACTCTGAGAAACACTGTTCCCACTGACTTTGTGCAAAGTGTCTAAAGTTAGTGCGGTAAAACACTTGCACACTTCCTTCGCTTCGCTATTCTGCACTGGTTCAACGCGGTCTTGCTCGAATGAATGCCTCCACCAGACTGTATTAAAAATGACCACCTTCGCCACACTCTGCTCTTCTTCTGTGGAGTTTTACGGCAGTGTGATGCAGTGTTGTGTAGTTCTGTGGTGCATGTACGTCCGTCCGCTCAACCACAGAACTACAAGAATGCGCCCAACCCCCGCACTCGGTGACGTATTAACTGCGCGACACAACGAATCGATAACCAAATTCGTTGCCAACGCTTTTAATAATCGATTTTTATCGATATTATCAATTCGTTGTTGCAGCCCTACTTTACAGCCTTGATTAATTTTACATATTGGGCCGTTAGCTGGCACCTTGACTTGTGCTTCTTTGTGGCTGCATGATCTTTGAGATCTTTTAAATGTGCACAAGTATCAGTGATACAAACTTGGCAGTGCGCTTTCCCTTCTTCTGCACCACGTGAAATCCATGCCCTTAAAAATGCAGTCAGTGATTTTTTTTTATATTGTGGGAAAACGTCCCTAAACCCTAAAAGTAGTCAAGCTATCATGTGTTTTCAAATAGTAATGGAATTGACCAGATGCCTACAGTCTCCAAAAATGTATTAAAAATATTTTGGAGTGGATCGATAAAAATAAACGAGTGGAGAGTGTTGTTTCGAGTTGGTGCTACGGCTAAGCTATCAAAATCACTTAATGAACCTTCAAGTCTGGATCTTTTTTCGACTTGATTCTGTTTTTTTCCTTTATTTTGCCTACTTTGACATTTTGACAGCTAATTTTTCAAAAACCTGCGTTTTGTCTGAGTGGCAGGAGGGAACGTGCATGCGTATGTGACGCATATACTGTAAATATTGTAACCTCAGCTAAAGGTAGTGAGTGTGTGATGTGAGGTTAAAGAGGGCAAGTTATTTCTGCCCGGAGAGAGGAAGAGGGATCCAAACAAGGGATCAAGTGCCGATGTTTTGGCTACAAAAACACACTGAACTGATCTGAAACCAGCCCAATTTTTAGCCATCCGCCCAAACCCATTTTTGCCTGCTAAATAGATCGCAAAACCGCACAATTGGGCGTAAAACCGACCCATATGGCAACCCTGAAGACAGCACAGCGATATCTTATTACTTTGTAAAACATTACTACTATGGGGTACTCAAATGAAATGTTATACTTATGCATGCATGTTATTATCCAGACCAGGATTGCTGAAGCTGTATGACGTCTGGGAGAGGCCCGTTGATATTCTCTGGATTTCTTAAATACTCATTTTGACTTCTGATTCATCTCATGGTGCGGTAGGAGGCCTTGCTGCCACTCACTTCACTGTTTCTACCACCTCAAATGTACTGGACGGCACTACCACCTCAAATGTACTGGACGGCACTGTGAGTCCTGCGTTGAACAGTTTTTTGAGGAATTCTTAATGCATTTATGGAAAAAAACAGTTGCGCTGTTGGCTGTACTGTATGTGGACTACTTTCAATGCTACTGTAGTGGGCCTTTTTTGATTCAAGTGGTTTTTCAACTGTTGTGGATATTGCATTTATTTTGTGAATATCTAAATAACTATACTAAACTCACTTGGTAGCACGCATTTGTGTTCTGGTGCCTGTAACGTATCTTGAATATAAAATAAGTTACATTTGGGTTAGGTTGAAGTTATTCTGGATTATTATACATTGTTTTCCTATGGAGATGATGGTATTTCATGTGGAGCAGTCAGACCTGTCTTGTTTCATTGCAACCATTGTTACCATGTAGACTACTCTGTGAAGTATTATATATTCAATATAGTATAGTATTGTTGATAATTGGTGTTATCTAAGCAACTTAAGGTACAAATAAACATCCAATCATCAAGTAGTATTTTGGCACTGGCTAGTTCAGTGCTAGTCAGACATATGCAGCATATGTTACATGTGGGAAATGTAAATTGAATCCTTCTTTAGTCATATTTTGTTTACAGGGTATATAACTAGCCACAGACCTCTATACACACACCAACTACACCTCCCTTTGGGGACATGCAGTTCCATACACATCCACTAGGGGACGACATAGAGTTATACACAAATTGGGTGGGGGAAAAGTGGGGTCACACACACATACACAAAAAAAACTACAAAAGTCACTTTTTGGGACATTGAAGATTTTCAGGGAGAAATGCATTTCTGAGCTTAGAGATTCTATATTCAATGAAATCTAATTGGGTCTAATTGGGGACCATGATTTTGGTCCCCAATTGGAATTCGGTCCCCAATCTACTGGTGTGTATCCTGGTTGAAGTCCCCAAAATTGTCCTATGTAAACACACACACACACACACACACACACACACAGAGCCATTGAGCCAATGTCCATACATAATAATAAATGTCCTTATATGTCACAACCTTCAGGTCTGAAGGCCAATGCTCTACCAACTGAGCTACTGTCACCCTAAACAACAACTCAAAAAAACAATTAAAAGTGACCAGATATTTTGCAAAAACACACACCCCAAACACAACTATATATTACTTGCACTAGAATACACAGCAATTTTATACTTAATAATATCCTTAAAATCAGGGGTTGTTGTACTTAAGTCTTGTTTCTTGTGAAAGTTGGAGATTTTAAGACTTCTTTCCTTATTATGATAAAGATAGAGATATTAAACTGGTTCTTTTTACACTAGAGTTACAGACTTTTTAAAATTACTTTAGTATAGAGTTATTTGTCATTTATCTTGTGCTGTGTGCTACAACTTGTGATGCGACACTGAAATACAACAAATCTTAAATTCTGCAACAACCAAAACACTAAAGCATTGTGCGATTTCTGTCTCAGCGAGTGTATTTAACAACGATAGTAGTGTGTGCCCACAGACTCACCTCCTGCTCCTCCAACACCAGCAGATCCTGTTGGAGAAACCAAACACAACGGTTATGATTTCCACCGAGAAAAACCTTGAAGCTTGAGGCTAAACACGGTAAAAGTACAGGGGGAGGTGATCGAGGCTGGAGCAAAAGAAAAAAAAACGCTGGTGCCATGTTTCATTACTGCAGAAGGCTGATGCTCTCACCTTCTGAATATCAGGGTTAAGAATCTCCCGGGGGCCTCTCTCAAACCTATCCATGTTCATTGCGCTGAAAAGGAAAGAAAGAGATAAAACAACAGCAATTCATCATCTGGGAGGAAGCAGGAAGAGCTCCGACATGGGGTTTCTCTGCACACTTATTCATAGCCAACAACCACCACCCAGTTTTTCTATGCTCATGTGTGTGTAAGCAATATACAAGTGTGTGTGTGTGTGTATTGTCACCTTAGTATAGACTTGACTGATAGTGTTTTGGTGGGGCTGTAGGGGAGGCTGATCTTCAAAGTGCCCTGGGAGAGAGAGAGAAAGAGACACAGATAAAGACAGTTAAGATGTGAAAACAAAGATCAATTTTCCTTTAATCTGGCAGCAACAGTGTAGTATTTTAAACAACACTTCAGCTACACATGCTGTATAATGCAAGGGAAAGGCAAATTATTATTATTATTAATTATGCTAAACCAATAAATGTACAAGATTCATTAAAAAAGACCTATTAACTTTATAACTTTGTGACTTTTCCTGTCTCTATATTCTTGTCATTATTCTTGTATAAAATTACCTTTTATTTTCTAAATGTTAGGAACTAAAATTCAAATAAGGGCCATTTTCTGTTGCTTTCTTTCTAAAGCAGTAGGAAGGTGCTGGTTCTGAACTGGTCCTGTGAAAAAAGTTTGTTTTTTTCACCAGAGAAGAGGGTCAGCACTAGATCATATACGGATTTGGGACGGAAGCTGAAGTAAATATAACAAACTACCTATTCATGCCTAAACTTAACCAGCCATTCCTATAAAATAACCCCAACCTACCCTTAACCCTAACCTTAACCATCTTACTCAGACCACCTTAACCCTAACCTTAACCATCTTACTCAGACACCTAAAACTTAACAAGTCACTACTTAAGGACTTTTTAGTCTAAAACTAATTCTAAAATTACTTCCGGTTTCGTCCCGATTCCGTATATGATCTAGTGCCGACCCAGAGTGTTGTGTTAGCTACCGTTAGCATTTGCGCTTTAGCATTAGCCAACTGTTTTGGCTGTATTTCAAGCATATACAGTAGTCACCATTTTAGCGCTTATTAAATGTGAGTAAAGGTAAAAAACTTTGCTTAATTTTAATACATCTGAAGACAAACTAAACATCTTTTGTCATATGTCATTATTTTGGTTAAATTATCTTTTCTTTTGAGTAATATGAGTAGTTCTACCAAGAGCCAGTACTAGTTACCATAGCGACACACTGTTTACTGTTATCAGTTAGCCATTGTTGTATTTCAAGTTATATTCACCAGTTTTAGTGCTTTTTAAAAAGTGAGTAAAGGTTAAAATTACTTACTTTTAATAAATCTGGTGAAAAACGGAAATTCCATCCAAACATTATTTATGGGGAATTTCTCAGAATTCTTACTTACGTACTGGAATTCTATTGGTTTGAACGGGAGCAGTCAAAAAGACGGCTCTGGGAGTACAAGTAGTTTCATAATTGTAGGAGTGTAGTGTTGGAGTAAGTCTTGCCAATGAGTAACATAAATAAATTCAACCTCTCCTTTTGAAAGAGCAGAATAATAACTTTGTGTCGGAGACTGGGACCAATATTAGATCCCGCCTCTGAAGCTGAGTCACTGTGTGTGTGTGTGTGTGTGTGTGTGTGTGTGTGTGTGCCCCCAGTCCACTAACACACTTCTGAACAGTAGTACCACCTCTCGATTAAAGATAGCAGTATTATATTTGCCACATAGCAGCAGATGGCCTCACCGACTTCCTCCAGAGAATGGCTCTGTACTGAGGAACACGCTGGTTGTTTTGGTCTGAGAGAACCACGGACAAGAAAAAGGGATTCTTCTCTGCGTCTGTGCCCACGTAGTTTTGGTGAACTGAAAAACAAATACATGGAGATTACGTTGTGGATTTATTTCACTCTATTTTTGCCTCTTTTATTACTTCGATCTAAGTATATGGGGAACTCAAACCCTACACTGCAAAAAGTGATGAGCCAATGAGACAAGCAAAATTATCTTGTCTTAAAAAGATACAAGAATGCCTCCCTTAAGACTAAATGACCATGTCCCATTGGCAAATCTTGTTTTAACACAGTCAGAATTAACTCAAAATAAGTTTTTCAAGCAATTATTACCTCATATATTTGTATGATTTTTTGCAGTGTGAGAGCTTTGTTCACACTCTGAAGCCTTAAATCAGCCTTTGGATAGTCATTCCTTCTTATTTTGGAAAGGCCAGATTATATATTCATTGTTATTTAATTGAACAATAATTATGAACTGAATAGCACAGTTCATACACAAGGCAAAATTCTTATCCAAAGAACCAACTTTTGTCACCCAAGTGCGAAGTACATAAATGAATGAATGAATGAACAAGATAAGATAAATATTCAATGTCAAAGTTGCACAGAAAAAAAGGACAAATGATGGGACTCAAGATTATGCCACAGGATTTATTATTCATGCTGATAGACAATAAAATAATAGAACAAAAAGATAAGAATAAATACAGTGGTTTCTATGGTTACTGCACTGTTTGTGTTGGAATAAAAGCGTGTAAGGTTTGGTGACCTGCTGTTGTGACTGGATGAGGTCATGTTCGAGTATTTCCCTGAGCTCAGTGAGAGCGCCAAAGCTGAGAGGCACAGATGGTTGTGCTGCAGTCGGAACGATCCAACTTTCAGAGACACGGCCCATTCTCAACTGCCCTCAAACCATTATTAACCTCAAGCCATAAACAACAGATTGTTTATATATATATTTACAGTCTCTTTATGCACTCTGCACTGCAAAAAGTCAGGAAAATTAAGTTAAAAATGGCTCAACTTTGGCAAAATGTATCTTAATTTGAGTACGTTTGGACTGCCTTAAAACAAGATCTGCCAATGAGAAAAACGAAATCATCTATATCTAAAGTGATGCATGAAATGTCTCTCTTGGAATGAGAAAATAAAGCAACAGTTCTTGACATAAGACTAAATGGCTTTGTCCCATTGGTGAATCTTGTTTTAAGACAGTCAGAATGTGCTCCAATTAAGATAAAAAACACTCGATTCAAGCATTTATTACCTCATTTTTTATCATTTTTTGCAGTGTTTTTATATCTTTGAATTTCCTGAGGCTGATGCGACCACAGCACGAGGTAAATAGGGAGCTGGGCTCATAATGAGGCAGAGTGAAGCTGAAGGATGTGAGTGCTTTCAACATAAACATTAGCCTGGTACTAACCTTTACCCAGGAAATATTTAAAGAACCATCTGGTGTGGTACTCTGGATTCTCCAGATGGACGTCCGTCCGCCTCCAGGATCCTGGAGTGTGGTCTGAACTCTGCCGCACACACAACACAAACGCTGATGTTATAACCGCAGATGATAACACAGTTTATAAAGTGTACAAATGTAAAACATGTTGAATATGTCTCTGGTCTGGGGCCAAGACTCTCCTGAAAAACAGACTGAGATCTCAGCGGGACTCGTCTGCTTTAAAGGTCAGTAACAATAATGTGAGCTCTAAAAGGTTTAGTTCAACATTTTCACCAGAGAAAAAAACTCTTTCAAATGGGGCAATGTCACAGTGGGGAAATGTCAGTGTTGCATCACAAGCTTTAGAGTAATAATAATAATCACTTTATCTATCCCTGCAATTTGTCTTGTGCATTTGACCCATCCTGCAATCCCCGAGGGCCTTTGTCAGGAGCAGTGTCTCTGTCACTCAGGGGTCTCCAGCCTTTTTCAATCGGAGAGCTACTTTTATACAACAGAAGAGGCAAAAAACTACTCCTTTTTTGGAGTCGAAATAAATAATCTATGTAATAATTAAGACAAACGAGAACATGAATATATTATAATACTGTATAACCTTATATTTTTACTTATAATAGATATGTAATGACACAAAATGTATTCATTCAAGATCATGTGTTCAATTCTAAATCCTTTGGGGAGCTACCTAAAAGGGGCTGGCGAGCTACGAGTAGCTCCCGAGCTACAGGTGGGAGACCCCTGCTGTACCTATAGTACATGATTTTCTTGATAGATTAAGATGAAGAGATCCTTTATTCGTCCCACAGTGGAGAAATGTCAGTGTTGCATTACAAGTTACAGAACAGTAGGAATGAGGCACACAACACAACATAAATGAACAATAATAAAGAAGAAAGTATAAAACTCTAACTTAAACCATTTCCCCACTGAATGATGAATAAAGGTTCTCTTCTCTTATCTTAAAACAATGCATGTGCACCTCGTCCATGGAGCCATTCTCGACCCTGAAGCGCCCGGCTCGCTGTATGGCCCCATCTGCATCGCTGGAAATCAGCTGTGGAGGCAGACAGTGTTAAATTTAGACTGTTCCGACACGACACTAACGAGCACAGATCACAGTTATATGTTGCACAAGTGGGACCAGAGTCGCTCCTCCACCTCACGCATTTCATCACTTATGTTTGAACATGGTTCTGTTCAAGCTAAACATTATTCTGCTCAGGTCTAAGTGAGCCGCTCTCTCTGCATAACAAGGTATTTTCTTGTTCTCGTCTACCACCGTGTACTTATCGGGCGCTGTGTGGCTCTCGCTGACTCACCTCTCAGTAGTACAGCTCTAAGAAGTGGTTAGAAAGGAACTGTTAATCAACGGATCTGGACATAATGTGTCGTTAGAAATATTTACAAGAAACATACAGTGAGTTGTTGTACTCATGATCCAACATGTTAAGAATAGTCATGTTGAGTTTCTAGAATTGCTTTCAGGAGAGAATATCTAACAATATCTTTGAAGAGAGGTGATGGGGCAGGCAGGCAGCCTCGCAGGGGCAGCTGTGGCTACAGTAGCTCACCACCACTGTGCATGGAGTGAGTGAATGCAAAGTGCAAAGTTCTTGTGTTGCCATGAATGGAGCAATAAAACACCAAGCTCACACCCAGTTATCACAAAGACATGTTATTGTTTGCAGAAGACTATTCCCGACACAATCAGAGCCTTTGTAATATGCAAATTGTATTTGATCATGTAATGTGAAGCTATATTTTCAACAAACAAAAATACCAGTAACTAATGTTGTTGCTCTGTCTCTTAATTTGCGAAAATAGATTTTTCTGTAATATACTTTTTGCGTGCACTTTATTCAGTGTTGTCACTTTGGGGTCAGCTCTAAACAGGCCCCTTTAATCTGCCCCATATGGCCACACCCACCCAAACGCAGCGTTGCTAGGCAACGATGTTCCTCTGCTCTCATCTTCAGCCTTTATGACCAAGAGATGATTCACATAATCTGGTAAATTATTACTGCACTGTTATGACATATGGCTCAGCTTCATTTCAAAATAACAGAGAAATATTTTACATTTAACATGTCACTTAAAGTATGTATAGATTACATGTATCCATGGAAACAGAAAGTGAAATCTATAAAGTAGTGCATAATATGAGGATATAGATATACTGCTAAGTTTTAATGTTTACTGTAGATACTTAGAGTAAAACAAACATGATATAAAAAAGCAGGAAAATCAACTAGATGTAAACAAACTAAAATATGTTTCTATTTTGTTCTGTATGTATTGTTTGAATTATTATTATTATTATTATCATTATTTTAAGTTTTGATCCAAAGCCTGAATTCAGTTTCATCATAATTTGTGTTTCAGCAGGAAGTGAGCAATCAAAAGGTGAAATTCTCCACAAAAGGTAGGTTAGTGAGACAGTATATTTAGCCGCTGCTCGTGCTAGCATGGGTGCTGCAGGTTGATGTGTGGGAATGGCTCAAAATAAACCAAAATCCCACATTATAATAATGACAAAAACAGCATGCAGAGGAAAAACACAATATTTGGCCTACATAAGTGTGTATTTCCCCAATCCATGATTATGCGCAGGTGTGCCAGAGAATACTCTTTTACTTGTTCTAAAAATGTAAGCAGGCCTGTAAATCGTGCAACAAACAAGGATGACAGGACGGACTCCGGAGGCTTTGAGAGGAGCGGGGAGAAGGAGCAGGCAAAGGAGCGAACTGGGAGCCATCTTAGTTTCTTTAAAAAACAAGTCATAAAACACCTCAGTTTCTCTGGGGAGGAGAAGGATGAAACTGCCAGGATTTCACACTTGTAAAGAGAGACTGATACTGGGCAAAAGCACAGTGCAATAAACACTAAAAGATATGACCAATCACATTCAATCCAAATTTGACTGTGAGGTTGGGTTATATGAATCATAGACTGTATATAGATGGACAAAGCTAACACACAATCTCAATGAAGCCTAATAGGGAAGTGCTCATGGACGAAGTTTTGCCTCAACTCGCTCTGGCTCCTATTGACTTACATTGGAAAGTAAACTCCTCTATCTCAGTAAGCTTTGGATCCTGGTGTTTATATTTTTGACAGAGTCTTGACTGACCAATCAGATGCCTTCATTGGTGAGGGAAACTCCAGCTTTCCTTAGCAACCACCTTAGCAACGCCATTATAACAAATGCCCATATAGGGAAATTGGCTCCGGCAAGCTTATGTTCTAATCGGCTTCTTCTTCATTCTGAAAATACTATGTCTGCACTTGTCCAGTCCATAATTTTCCCATTTGAGCCAAAAGTAGCAGTAGTAACTAAACACATAACGATAAATATATTATTTTTGTATTTTGATTGACTTCCAGCCAAGTAAATGGAAGTGATAAAAACATAAGAAATATGAAAAAGGCAGACGGATGTGGTAAAGTCATTACTAAAGGTTATGGGAAGCAGAAGGTTATGTTTGTGTCTATGTGTCCCTCTCTCTGTGTGTCTGTGTCTGTCTCTCCGTTTGTGTCTGTGTCTATATCTCTGTCTGTCTGTCTGTCTCTGTCTGTGTGTCTGTCTCTGTCTGTGTCTGTGTCTGTCTCTCTGTCTGTGTCTGTCTCTCTGTTTGTGTCTGTGTCTATATCTATGTCTGTGTGTCTGTGTCTGTCTCTCTGTCTGTGTCTGTCTCTCTGTTTGTGTCTGTGTCTATATCTCTGTCTGTGTGTCTGTATCTTGTCTGTGTCTGTCTATATGTGTGTCTATGTCTCTGTCTGTGTCTGTGTCTCTCTCTCTCTTTGTCTGTGTCTTTGATTTCAACAATCATCATTCTCTCCGATTACAACTCCATCCATGCCGTTACAACCGGCTGCAGCCAAGAGGAATCTAAGGCGTGAAGTTATGAATGAAAGACGACCGACATCCAACAGCCCCGCACCAGCGACACATACATCAATGGAACTGCCATGTTCAATCAGATTAGGGTTCCACCATTACAATAATGTTACAAAAATGATCACAATTCCACTGCCTCGATTATTCTGTAAATGTTTCCTAGCGACACCACACAGTACACAGCAAAAGGTAATGAAAAATAAGTCAGAAATTGTTCAAATTCGGCTTAATGTATATTTGAGAACATTTTTACTGCCTTAAAACAAGAAATGTCTCCCTTGCAATGAGAAAATGCAACAGATCTTGGAATAAAACTAAATAGCTTTGTCCCACTGGCAAATCTGGTTTCAAAGCAGTACGAATATACTAACATTATGATTAAAACCACTTGATTCAAGCAATTATCACGTAATAATTTACCCTTTTTTGCAGGGTACTGAAAGCAACAGTGGGATTTTGCTTTTTAGATTGAATGAATGAAGGAATTAGGTTTTATTTAAGTCTCTTGCACATTTCTATGCATCTTTACAGAACAGAAAGACCGAAAAAGGCGTAGGCTGAAGCTAATCCTTATATTGCCCTTACCCTTTTTCCCGGTGTCATTAGTTTAAGTGAATGCGTAAATTTGAAATGACAGAAGCAGCTGTAGAAAACATTAAGATTCTAAAATCATGTAGCCATCCAAAATGAAATATAAAGACTAAATATTATAATGTTATTTCACACAGAAACTCTTCATTTGATTTAATGTTGTTTTATGAATTGTACTTCCTTCAAAAACACATGTTAGCGTTTTTTAGAAGTCAAATTAGAAGGAAGAAGCTCGGAGAATAAGTCAATAGCTGCAGCCTTACATCAATATTCCCCTGACCAGAAGCTAATGAGGCAACTTTACTGGACGACTCATTTTCCAGCGGTTATTTTAGTTCCATAAACTGTAAGATCAACGCTGGTGAACATACTTTAATGCACATAAATATATAGATAGACAGATACTTCATTGATCCCCCGAAAACACGTCAATCCATACAAACAAATACATTCTAAAAGGTACTAACAATAGTAATAGAGCAGGACTGGTCACAGCCGGTTCGGACCATTTTCTCTGCTCTGGTTCAGAGTGAAATTCTGAGCTCATTTTTCAAAAAACTAAGTTAGCAATCCTCCAGTGGATTCACGCTTATGTACAATTTACGGCTAGAGAAAAGAAAGAAAAATAACGATGGTTAACTACAAAACAACAACCGTTTCCAGCGCATACAAAAGTAAATGCATCAGTACAGTATGGTACGACAACACAAGATAAGCGAACATAACTCTCTACAAAAATACAATAACACCTCTAGCTTTAGCATAATAAGGAAATCTAAAATCTCCAACTTTAGAAAATATAAACATAACATAAACGCAAATGTATAACTTCAAACTGAAACTTAAAGGACAACTCACCCTCAAATCCACTTTTTTTTGCTGATAAACGGTATAAATGAGTGTCCAATAGTGTTGTCTACATATCCTGGTCATAATCTTGTCACTTTGGTACAAATTAGTTGAAAGTTAGACTTTCTGCCTAAAACCGTCTGTGAGGCGCCATCTGCTGGCGACCTGTATTACTACATTTGAATTTTGAATCTGGCGCCAACACTGGCGCAGCAGCACGTCTGCAAGTTGGACCTGACGTCAGCAGCCCCCCGCCCAGAGCAATGTAAACGGCCCAGTCTCGTTCACGCCCCCTTTAGTCCTCCAGGCTACGCCCATTTAGAGGAAGATTTGAACAGGAAATGTGAGTAACGTAAGCTCCGAGGAGCGGGGGTGAGAACCACTTTAAAGGAATAGTTCACCGTTTGTACATACTGACATATGTTCTTACCTTACCTTAGACTAGTTAATACGTACCTGTCTGGTCTTAGTCCGTGCGCTCTGTCATGCAAACGGAGCAAAAACGGGAGCACAAATGCAGCCTCCTCTGTATATTTTGTAGCACCAAAAGGTAGCTCCCGCTAGAAGCTACCAAACTCTTCCAAGTGTTCCCTATTAAATGTATATAGTTACGTGACGTGTTACACTGCAAAGTATAGTAACACAGAAATGTAACAGTCGATTTTCTCAGCGGATAAAACGGGTACTATATTGTGAAGCGTAGTAATCTGAGGTGCGCTACGTCCGTGCACTAACTTCTCTCCGGAGACTTCTCTCTCGCTCACTTCCGTCAATAGAAGCAGCGTGACTTGTAGTACACACAGTAGCAGCGAGAGAGAAGTCTCCGGAGAGAAGTTAGTGCGCAGAGAAGTTAGGAGCGCTACGTCCGTTACGTTACTACGCCTCACAATATAGTACCCGTTTTATCCGCTGAGAAAATCGACTGTTACATTTCTGTGTTACTATACTTTGCAGTGTAACACGTCACGTAACTATATACATTTAATAGGGAACACTTGGAAGAGTTTGGTAGCTTCTAGCGGGAGCTACCTTTTGGTGCTACAAAATATACAGAGGAGGCTGCGGTTGTGCTCCAGTTTTTGCTCCGTTTGCATGACAGAGGGCACGGACTAAGACCAGACAGGTACGTATTAACTAGTCTAAGGTAAGGTAAGAACATATGTCAGTATGTACAAACGGTGAACTATTCCTTTAAGAGCCGATTCATGTTTTTGGGGTGTACTGTCTCTTTAAGAGTGCCACTTGCGGCTGGACAGCGCGGAGACGTGAGGGACGAGCACATGCTGAGGGTGAGAATTAATGCATGGTGACAGAACAGTCAAAAGCCTGAAGGCAGTGACAGTAACACTGAGGGCAGGTGGGAGTGAAGCCTTCTGCTGCGCCGCGTCACACTCACAACAGCATTCACCACACTGCACCAACAATAACCATCAGACACCACACTGCACCAACAACAACCATCAGACACCACACTGCACCAACAATAACCATCAGACACCACACTGCACCAACAACAACCATCAGACACCACACTGCACCAACAACAAGTATCAGACACCACACTGCACCAACAATAACCATCAGACACCACACTGCACCAACAACAACCATCAGACACCACACTGCACCAACAATAACCATCAGACACCACACTGCACCAACAACAACCATCAGACACCACACTGCACCAACAATAACCATCAGGCACCACACTGCACCAACAATAACAATCAGACACCACACTGCACCAACAATAACCATCAGACACCACACTGCACCAACAATAACTATCAGATACCACACTGCACCAACAATAACCATCAGACACCACACTGCACCAACAATAACCATCAGACACCACACTGCACCAACAATAACCATCAGACACCACACTACACCAACAATAACCATCAGACACCACACTGCACCAACAATAACCATCAGACACCACACTGCACCAACAATAACCATCAGGCACCACACTGCACCAACAATAACCATCAGACACCACACTGCACCAACAATAACCATCAGGCACCACACTACACCAACAATAACCATCAGACACCACACTGCACCAACAATAACCATCAGGCACCACACTGCACCAACAATAACCATCAGACACCACACTGCACCAACAATAACCATCAGGCACCACACTGCACCAACAATAACCATCAGACACCACACTGCACCAACAATAACCATCAGACACCACACTGCACCAACAATAACCATCAGACACCACACTGCACCAACAATAACCATCAGACACCACACTGCACCAACAATAACCATCAGAAACCACACCACACTGCACCAACAATAACCATCAGACACCACACTGCACCAACAATAACCATCAGACACCACACTGCACCAACAATAACCATCAGGCACCACACTGCACCAACAATAACCATCAGACACCACACTGCACCAACAATAACCATCAGACACCACACTGCACCAACAATAACCATCAGACACCACACTGCACCAACAATAACCATCAGACACCACACTGCACCAACAATAACCATCAGACACCACACTGCACCAACAATAACCATCAGACACCACACTGCACCAACAATAACCATCAGACACCACACTGCACCAACAATAACCATCAGGCACCACACTGCACCAACAATAACCATCAGACACCACACTGCACCAACAACAACCATCAGACACTACACTGCACCAACAACAACCATCAGACACCACACTGCACCAACAATAACCATCAGACACCACACTGCACCAACAATAACCATCAGACACCACACTGCACCAACAACAAGTATCAGACACCACACTGCACCAACAATAACCATCAGACACCACACTGCACCAACAATAACCATCAGACACCACACTGCACCAACAATAACCATCAGACACCACACTGCACCAACAATAACCATCAGACACCACACTGCACCAACAACAACCATCAGACACCACACTGCACCAACAATAACCATCAGACACCACACTGCACCAACAATAACCATCAGACACCACACTGCACCAACAATAACCATCAGACACCACACTGCACCAACAATAACCATCAGACACCACACTGCACCAACAATAACCATCAGGCACCACACTGCACCAACAATAACCATCAGGCACCACACTGCACCAACAATAACCATCAGACACCCCACTGCACCAACAATAACCATCAGACACCACACTGCACCAACAATAACCATCAGACACCACACTGCACCAACAATAACCATCAGGCACCACACTGCACCAACAATAACCACCAATGTAGAATGGATATTATTTTTGGGTTTTTCTATCGGAGCACTAATGACAAAAATCATTTGTTTTTATTTTTTTGCCCCGCTCTCAGTTTTTGTTTTTTATATTTTTATTTTATTATAGGCCTCTACCAAATGTTGGAGATGCAGTTTGATGGCAAAGTGCCTAAAACATAGTAGAATAACACATGCAGTAGCAGCAGTATATTAACGGCCAGAGGTGCGTGTCGGCTGTGTGTGTAAACATTTTGTGGGAATGTTGTCTGTAATCTACTGAGTGGAATGTGCTGGAATTGTTTCTGGCCCAAACTGATTGAGAGCATCAGGTGCATGAGATCTGCCTCTGCTGTTTTTCCTAAAACCAATTAGAGACTCTATTTTAGTAGGAACTAGAAAATGACTATTATTACTAGAAAAGCACGCAGACCTCTGCCAAGAAGCACATTTACATTCCTGAAAACAATTCCTGGATCCAGACAGTGACCGTTAAGATCGTATATGTATCAAAGTATGGTTTATACCACAGTAAGGTCATGAGTTTGAGAAATGAATGAAAGGGCAAGATCACGGATACAAGTGGTTGAAATGAGTTTCCTCCAAAGAGGAGGAGGAGAGCCGATGGTTCTCCACGTGGAGAGAAGCCAGTTGAAGTGGCTCAGGCATCTAATAATAATAATAATGATAATAATTCACTGATAAACTACTACCGTAGCCAAAGCTGCCTTGGGGACGGACTGACAGAAGCGAGCCAACCAGTACGTGCAATCCTCCCGACCACCACCCCTCATTCACGCACACACCAGACTTCTAGGCAATGTTAGTGAAGTGTCTTGCCTCAGGACACAACAACAGTTAGGCACTGTGCCGCGGCCGCCCCACTGTGGCCTCTGTTGTTCCCAGAGGTCTCTCATCACAGTGCTGGGGACGATCCAAGACACACTGGAGGGACTGTGACTGCGTTCAGACTGTCATAAACAGATCGGATTCAGGTTGCATAGAAGCAAAAACAATGGAAATGGGTCACTTCAGGCTGCAGTCTGTCTCTCAGCTGGCCTGGGAACGCCTTGGGATTCCCCCGGATGAGCTGGAAGCAATGTGTGTGGAGAGGGAAGTCCTTATATTGAATTGACTAAATATGCATGGTAAAATATGATTTGTACATGTGACCTTTATCTGGAGACCCAGATCTGGAGGCAAGATGAAGCAGAAATTAGAAATAAATGAATAAATAAATGACATACTTTTCCTTTAAAATTCAATTGAATTAACATTTAGCCCTAAATCACAACAGCAGTCGTCTCTGAGGACTTCACAACATTGTCAATTCACCAACAACACATCAGAGAATCAAACCGTTCAAACACAGAGAATGCAATTATAAAACAAACATACTGTGTAGGAGCCATTGGTCCATAGGTAGTAGGAAGATCAATATCCATAAATGTCAATAAATGTCGCGGATCACCACTGAATCATAACATATTGAACAATTTTGCACTGCTCACACCGCTTATAGCACACAACCATTCTTAGAGAACACTTTTAGACCCACATTTTGTTGAGAAATTGTTGTCATGTGCAAACTTTATCCAAACGAGTCCAAAAGCGCTTGGTCCTTGCTATATAGACTTTCCACGCGCATCATTACTGTGTCTGTCCGACCCGATATAGACGTCCTGTGGTTTCCTCCGCAGCACTAATCTGACACACACCTGGCCTATAGCATCCATAATCTATTCTCCAATGCCTGTCTGGTATAGGAAGTCAATTGGCAGCGAGGGAGACCATACCACTTCCTGTTGCTCTGAGCTATCGGGGTGTGCGGACAAACAGGCGCTCTCTTACGGCAAAGCGACATGACTCGACATCTTAAAAGCACAACCACACGAGCGGCAGGAGCAGAGAGCGAGGAGGGGCGCGGCTCCACCAGTCACGCCCCGTCATTTGTGAGTCATGAGCTCCTCTCCAGTCGTGTCCACAAGATCATGACGATAGAGACCATTTGCCGATGACAATCCGGTTTGGGTGGCGCCAAGTTCCATTCAATTTGTACAGCGCTAAAACACAACAGTAGATATCTCGGAGGACTTCGCCAACACATCAGAAAATTAAACAGGAAAATGCAATGATAAAAAAACACAGAGCAGGTACGTCCAAACTAAGGCCTGAGAGCCAATTACGGCCCGCTGTGTCATTTTATGTGGCCCTCCGTCTTGCTAACCCAGAGTACATTTTGGAGATCCTAAACACAAGTTCACAGTGTCATCCAGCCAGCTTCAACTCCGACAATATAGTCATGTTATACCTCCATGTCATGCTCAGAACATCTGGAATCCATATTTTTGCATGCACAGAGATTTGCTGTTCATTGTATCACTAATGTAGCTGGTGAGAAAGTACACATTTGACATTCAGCTCTCACAGATGTTGTACCTCATTTTAAGTCTTTGTGTTGTTGGCCCCTGAACAAGTCTGGTGAACTAAAGTGACCATCTTACTAAAATGGTGGACACCCCTGACATAGAGCCATTGGTCCATAAGGGGCAGAAGACCAATAGATGTTGTTAAATGTCGTTTGATGTCCTGGGTGATCACCACTGTACTTAGGCCGTTCAGCATCGGCAAGGAACAACTCAAAAAAGGGAGGGATCTGCTCCTATGGACGGACGGGTCATAGATCTGGCAACAGGTCGGACTCAGCCTGTAGAATGAAGACTGAGGCCACGTGGTATAGGGCGGCTCCCAGGCAGTGAGCGGGGAGGATGTACAGCCACGAGAGTCCTGGCCATGGGGAAGACAGTCCACAAGTTCTCCTTCAATCTTTGTCAGTGGATTTTGGGAGTACAGCAGCTTCAATCTTTGCTTTCCATACTTGCTGGACTATAAAGCAGTAATAATTAAGACCACACGAGCTAAATTTGAAACGAAAGTAAATGTTGTCAACATAGACCACGCCTGTATCTATTTATTTATCTATTCTTCATTTGGTTGGGACAGTACATATTAATGAACACATCACTCCGGATTGCAGCCTTGAGCTAATTTGCATCCGTCATGCACATTCGCACTCCCAAACACACACTCATTCACCCTGAACTAGTGCATATGTTTTTAATGGTAGAGGAAACCGGAGTACCCAGAGGAAACCTACACAGACACGGGGAGAACAAGCAAACTCCACTAAGATACGCCCTGTTCCGACTGGGATTTGAAACCCAGAACATTCTTGCTGGGAAGCGAGAGTGCTAACTACTCAGCCACCATGCCGCCCTGTAACCCTTAACAAACAGCTGACGGAGCAAAACAAAGAAACAAAAAAACCACAACAAAAACACTGAGCTAATGACGTAACAGACATTCTAGCTTCTGGTGTGTTTATGTGAACAGCAGAGCGGCAACACAAGGAAGTATTGTTGAATATGTGATTAGGGCTGTCGTCAGAATTTTAAAGACTTATTATTGTGACTTTTAGGAGCTCTAGGATCACGTTAATTGAAAATAGATTGGATTTGTCCTTGTGAAACTATGCTAGCTTTGTTTTGCTCTCTCTATGGCAGGGGTCTCCGACATTATTTTGTTTGGAGAGCTACTTTTATGCAACAGAAATGGCTGAGAGCTACTCTAAAATTGTAGTCTATTAAGTAAATGTGAAAAATCATGGACAACACTGTAAAATCTACCATGTTGCTGTATAACCCCTAGATTAATGCTACACATTTCAACACAATGGTAACATGTATAGTTAAAAATAGATCTGCAATGACTCAGTAGGATCATGTGGCCAATTCCTGAATCCTTTGGGGAGCTACCTGAAAAGGGGTGGCGAGCTACTGGTACTTCCCAAGCTACAGGTTGGAGACTACTGCTCTACCGTCTAAAATGATGTAGTAGCTATGTCCAGTCTGTAGAATACATTAATTGCGTAATGTCCTTGTCAATTAAATAAACAAAACTGTTGGTTAATTGTTACATTACAATATGAAAACCTAGAGCTTATATTCAAGTGCGGCCTATATGTGGAGGATATTTACTTTCTTTTAAAAAGTAGCCGTGGTGTGATTTTTTTCAGACAACCAAAAGATGTGGGGAGATTTTAAGGGATACAACAGACAGACAATGTATGTGTGTGAGTGTGTGTGTGTGTGTGTGTGTGTGTGCGTGTGTGTAATAAAGTCATAATACTGAATAAAAAATGGTAAGATTTAACCTATTGCTTAATATGTATATGAGAGTAACAGACAAGGGAAGAATTGCAGTTATATATAGAAACGGTAACACATGCATAATGAAACAAACAAAAATAACAATAAAATAAATATATATATATATATATATATATATATATTTAAAAATTATAATGATAAATTAAATGAATAAAACCAATAAAATAAATAAAATAAATAAAATAAATACAATAAATAAAATAAATAAAATAAATAAAATAAATAACATAAATAAAATAAATAAAATAAATAAAATAAATAAAATAACAAGAAATTAATAACAAGAAAAATTGACAACTTCAAATTTCCCTCAGCCAAAGTCAAACCCATACTGTAGCACCTTTTGCTGCCAGACTACACGTTCAGCCAGAATATTACGAATACTTAGCATACAAAGGAGAGCAGAAAGGTTACTCACCAGCTCCACAGAACCATAGTGTTTCCTGCTGAAGTCCCCGCGCCTGCAGCCCAAGTCCTCAGACGCAGAACTGGAAAGCAAACGTAGAGTGAGACACATGACTTTATGGGACGACGCGACACACGCACACCACCTAACGTGATTTTTATTAGATATATTTCCAGTTTGCAGCTCATTCAATGCTTTGCGTATATACTCTTCTGCAGACTTGGCGTTTACAGCGAGTGGGCAGCAGTGGCCAAGCCCAGTTCTGATCAGGGGAAGGCTGGTTCTGATTGGATTAAGTCCCAGTGATAGATGAAGCATGGCGCAGAGAGCTGACTTAATGTCTGACGCACACCACTCCGAGAAGCAAATCTCTAATATCAAGACAAAACTCCAAAAAAAGCAGAAGTCATTAGTATCGTCTGAGTTTATCCGAGGCTCATGTTGTGCTGGTGCTAGCAAGACACTTCTAAAGCGTTCATGTCTGTTTGTTAACACGCACAAGAGATTAAGATTAATTGTCCCACAGTGGGGAAATTTCAGTGTTTATTATCACTAATCACTCTGTACTAAAAAAAATCTCTAGTTTTAGCCATAGACTGTATATATTAATGGACAGAGTCACGCCTATCTCCTCCATTCTAACTAATGGGCCAAAAAATTTGCTCTACTGGAGCAATCCAAAATGGCCGCGAGTGGTCCCGCCCACAAAAAAATTGTGAAAAAACACATCTGCACATGCGTCAGCCGGCGAGAGCTCCGTTCATTTGAACGAGTGACTTCAAAAATTCACAGCAAGTAAACTAGAGTGGTCCAAAAAAATCCACCCCCCTCAGCATTGACACACATGTGGAACAGAGCTTTGGGCCAAGAGCCAACTTTTGGTCCATCCTGTAAAGACGTTTCCGAGAGGTCTGCCAATGCTATATGTTAGCATTGGCTAATTCTACTTTGGGGTGGTATTGCAGCATGTCAGCGCCATGGATCTATTATATTAACTGGATAGGGTATTACTAGCTTGTAGCTGAATAACTCATGTGCTCAGGGGATTCTCGCGGTACTGCAGACTAGACCAGACTAAATTCACGTGGGCTACCCAGAAATTTTCCCCATAGAACTCAATGCATATTAAAACAGCTCAACCTCAGCTGACAGAGAACCTACAGCTTTCATAAAGGTCGGATTTTGTGGGGATTTTAGTGTCCCTTGTCATCCTGAACTTTTTTTCTTATTAAATCCTTCGGTTTTGTTTAAATCCACACTTTAGTGCCACAAACTCTGCTCGTCTGGCTCTCGCTCTAACTCCCGCTCTAATGAACTGCTCTGATTGGTCAGAGCGCAGCCGAGCCCCTCTGTGCACGTGCGTGAGACCCGGTGTGAGACCCACACACACGTATTTGACGCAACGCATTATGGGAGATCATCCACTGCACAGAACCGGGAGGACCAGACGATGCCCAAATACAGGCGAGTTTCCCAAAGATCTTTGCGAGTTTCAGGCGACTTCCGCTAATCTTTCAGCCCCCATGCCGTCACAAAGCGCCACTGAGCACAACCATTCATTTGAATAGGGCGCCATCTTGGATCGCCGGGGCTTGGTCAGCGCACGTCATTTTGGCCACTTTTGAGCTGGGACCCGCCCCCACTGGTTTTAGCATAATAAAGAAGCTAATTTAAATTGCTAGCTTTAGCATTTAGCATAATATAGAAGCAAGTTTAAAACTCTAACTTTAGCCTAATAAATGAGCAAATAAAAAATATCTAGCTTTAGTATAATAAAGAAGCAAGTAAAACATCTATAACTTTAGCATAATAAAGAAGCAAATTTAAAATCTCTTCACTTTACCATAATAAAGAAGCTAGTATAAAATCGGTAGCTTTAGCCTAATAAAGAAGCAAGTTTAATATTGCTAGCTTTAGCATGATAAAGAAGCAAGTATAAAATAGCTATTTTTAGCATAATAAAGAAGCAAGTATGAAATCTGATATTAGCACAATAAAGAAGCTAGTTAATAAATCATTTAGATATACTGTATATACATATATTTCCATACGTTTTCCAGGACATAACCCTAGACTACATGCTTTAGCATGCCTTTGTTATTTGCTATTGTTTTTTTTTTGGTTGGGACATTTGTTAAATTAATTTTTCAAAAAATATTCCAACAAATATGGATCGTTCACACCCAGATGAGAAGTAATGTAAACCAAAAGACAACAACAACAACAAATAAACTGCTCTACATAGACAGAAAAGTGGTTACTAAGGAAAATGTTAATGGGTAAGATAATTAGTCTACTACAAGACGACTTTGATCAATCAACGTAGACGGAGAAGTGGGGTTAATGGGGTGAAGCAAAACAACAACAGTGAAGACACTCCCAGAATAGACCTCAGATTCTTCAAGAGCGTTTATTTCTTAATCTTTCTGTTTTGCAATCAGTACCGTAAATGCTGGACGACAAGTTTGTTCAAATCTGCGTCCTGTATAGAAATGTATGTATTTGTTAGGGGAGAGTAGATTTGGACATCCACAGCTGTTGATCTCCGGAGCGGATGACGGAGAGAGAGAGAGAGAGAGAGAGAGAGAGAGAGAGAGAGAGAGAGAGAGAGAGAGAGAGAGAGAGAGTGAGAGAGAGAGAGAGAGAGAGAGAGAGAGAGAGAGAAGAGAGAGAGAGAGGAGAAGAGGAGAGAGAGAGGAGAGAAGAGAAGTTGAGAGAGAAGAGAGACGAGAGAAGAGAGAGAGAGAGAGAGGAGAGAGAGGAGAACAAGAAGAGAGAGAGGAGAAGAGAGTTTATGGAGGACTACTATGGACTTTTACTATCAGTGAAAATGTCTACATGTTTTGACGATTTATACATTTTATTTTATTTATTTATTTTTTCTTTAAACATTCCTCCTTCCAGTGTCTAAGTTCCAGTGACACAAAAAGAGACCTTATGTTTAGGATAACATTAGTTATAGTCAGTTATAGTCAGGATAGAGGAAGTCATTTTTATTTATTTATCGCATTTCACAGACCACATTCTCTCCACACAGTGATGACAGAAGCGAGACGTCGGAAACTCTGACACATCAAAGCCCTTGACCATGACAAACCATTCACTCTCTCCCTAAATTCATTCCATTTAACGGTAGGGAGAACCGGAGCACACAGAGGAAACCTACGCAGACATGGAAAGAACATGCAAACTACACATAGAAAGGCCTCGAGGTGGAGTCACTGCGCTACCATGTTGACTCATGGTTCTATAAGTTACCAAGACAGAAACAGTATGTCTCTAGTCTCTACCATCTCCTTTCAAGATTTAATACAGACACACATTTGAATAATAAAGAAGAAAGTATAAAATCAGAAGCATTAGCATAATAAACAAGCAAGTATAAAATGTCTAGCTTTAGCATAACAAAGAAGCAAATATAAAATAGCATAATAAAGAAGCTAGTATGAAAGCGCTAACATTAGCATAATAAAGAAGTATTTGTTTAATGTAATAAGTTAAGTGTTTGTTTCTGCCTGTGCACAATATAACAAAACAAAAACAAACAAAACAATCCAGAAACAATCAATCAATACATATACTTTTCTTTTTCTTAGCTATAGATCGCCAGTCCTTTTCTCCTGAAGCCTGGTGCATATGTTCTGAGGAGAGGATGTGAGCCCGAGTAATGCATTATACAGTATATACTCAACCAAAGGGGCTTTTAAAAGGACGTGCTACAGGAAGCATCCATCAGTGCTCTCTGCTCTGACTGTACCTGACGAAACATGGTTATTTTAACATTCAATTCTGTCTCGGTGTGAGCCCTACTCTTCGCAGCAGGTAGTCGGGAGGCCTACACACTGAGCCACGAGATTAGGTGACAATATTCCACCCACCTCGGCTTATGAGCACAATGAAAGAGGCTTCGTAAGAGAATATTTTGCCCCGTGGGAGTTTGATGCTGCTGTTGCATAAAAAGTCAGTTTTTCCAGATAGAAATTGTATATATAGTGGGGTAGGTTTGACTAGAACACTGGATAGTTAGTTAGTTAGATATATACTGTACACAGATAGATGAATTTATTTAATCATTTATTATGGATTGCCCCTTGAGATGAATCATATCTTTTTCGAGGGGGTCCTCAAAGATAGAGAGGACGGTAGATATAGATAGATTGAGAGATAGATACATAGATAGTTAGATAAATTAATAAATAGATAGATAAATCCAGGTCTCCAGCAAATAAAAACCCACTGATCCAAACTAACAAATAAATACACTTATACAATACAGTTTCAATTAAACACTATTTAACACACATTATTTATTGCTTACTTACTGGGTACTTACTATTATGATTCCTCTATAATTTTCTATATTAATATTGTACTATATTTATTATTTTGTAAATATTATCTGAATATATTGTAATGCATTTTTATTAGATTTACTTTGTTTGATTTGGACCCCAGGCAGAAAAGCGGCAACTCTGCTGTGCTAATGGGGATCATTTTAACATCCTTTTAAAAGTTATTAACGATAGTAGAAAAAAAGTGAGAGAAATAACACTTGTAAGCACAACAACTGTTTCGGAGTTACTCAGGACTTGCCGCTGTTTCGAGTGCATTCAAAAGGAAAGTTTCGTCCACAACCAATCAAAAACAGCATGATTTCGGTTAAAGGAGCAATATGTAAAACTCTGGACAAAAATGGTACTGCACTCTCCTTGACTCAGGTTGCCAGATATGCAGACAAATCCAACTGGGACCATAATAACAGACTAGACAATAACAAAATTGTCACAAAAAAAAAATCTATAACCCACACCTTTTTCACAAACGCATCCCGATAGAAATTCTCGTTTTGTCATGAACAATTTGGGGATCGTAACGAGACCTTTTTTTAGTTCTGCGGCCACAAGGTACTTTACCAGTGAGATTCGCTCAACGCAGTGAGTTCTGGCACCTCGGATCACGGACTTTCTGATTGGTGAAACGGTGGAGGGCGGGACATTGAAATTAAAACAATAACATGATTGAGGGGCTGTAAATCCAACTTTGAAATTCAACATCTCTGAACTACTTTTATTAGTTAAAGAAGTATTTGAAAAGAGCTTGTTTTATTAATGCCTTTTGACAGATTAGGAGCATTTAATGATGACTTAATTAAGTAATTCTTTCATATCAATTAATTAATTGCCACTTTAAAGAAAGATAAATGGATGAGAATACTGTGTACTTAAAACCATTATCTTATTGAAAGCGATCACATGACACATACCACCAGCTTAAACAGATGTAAATTAAAATTCTGCAGCCTTTATCCACAAAGCAAAGTCATTCTCATCAAAGTACATCATATAGAAAATCAAGCAAGCCAAAAGAGGTCTTTCTAATCATCTCACACCATTTTCTTTTCACAATATTTTAACTAATGAGGTGATATTGGGTCATTTGCATAGACACACCTACCAACATCTCAAGGCCCACAAACATACCACGGCCCACAGGTTGAAAAACACTTCTTGAAAGCCAATGGACACTGCACCAATCTATCTGTGTGTACCATGTCAACACAGCCTCATCAATACATAACAGCACAAAACTAGTATTTTTGTTGTTGATTTTTCTCCTGTTGAAAGCGCACTGGCTGATTATTTCTGTCACCATAAGCTGTTGATTGTAGACAAGAGGCACTGGTGGCATTTCACATTGCTCTTATGTGTCCCCAAAACATGTCATTGAGAGTAACTAACCTTTACCTACAAACTGTTGCTGTCTGCTGCCTGCCTGACCACTGTCATATCGCCCTACAGTATATTCCAGGTCTCATATAGGCCCACAGTCAAATATGCATGTCTCTGGATGGGTAAAGTCTGCAGGGAAATAAACATCTCTCTTCCATCGCCTAAATATCTCCCTTCAATCTCTTTTCACGACTTAACACATGCACAAATTTGAATCTTAAAGAAGCAAGTATAACAGCTCTAACTTTAGCATGGAAGCAAAAAACAAACATCTAATTGAGATTCTAACCTTTACCTACAAACTGTTGCTGTCTGCTGCCTGCCTGACCACTGTTCCTGCAGGCCCACAGTCATATATACATGCCTCTGGATGGGTAAAGTCTGCAGGGAAATAATCATAAAGCGAAAAAAACTAAAACTTGTATGTAAACATTTTGCAGGTGCAGTTGCGGGTGCTTTGTAGTCCAGGGAAATACAGCTAAAGTGTTCTCTCTTCAATCTCCTTTAACGATTTAACACATGCACAAATCTGAATCACAAAGAAGCCAGTATAACATATCTTATTTTAGCATAATAAAGCAGCAAAAAACATGTCATTGAGATTCTAACCTACAAACTGCCTGACCACTGCCATATCTGCCATATAATCCTGCCCCCCAATGGCCCACAGTCAAATATGCATGTCTCTGGATGCGCAAAGTCTGCAGGGAAATAATCATAAAGCGCAAAAAAACTAAAACTTATATGTAAACATTTTGCAGGTGCAGTTGCGGGTGCTTTGTGGTCCAGGGAAATACAGCTAAAGTGTTAACTATAGCGAATAAACTAGAATGGCGATGCTCCGAGCAACACAGCGCTTGGAGGCGACGCTGTAGGTAAAAAATAAATAAAAATTGTGTATCCTTTTGCTGCGTAAAATTCTGCAGGAAAAGGTTTAGCGACGGCGCGCAACACAGCAAGCAACAGATGAGGATGAGGAGAGAGGCGGGAAACACACGCTGATTAAAGGAGAAAGCACTTAGTTACCGCTGGTTGAAATTCAACAGTTTGTTGGACGTTGGATCCACACTGGTCATGTCCCCAACACACCGGTGTCCACGCAACTCTCTTCTTTCTCCTCTTTTCACTTCTGCTAAGAGCGCAGAGACATCACCGCAGCAGCAGCAGCCAGTCCCGACAAACAGCCACTGATCAGATCCATTCCTCTGTGCGGGATCCTCTCTCTCTCTCTCTCTCTCTGCTTCTCTCTCTCTCTCTCCTCTCTCTCTCTCACTCTCTCTCTCTCACTGCTTCTCTCTCTCTCTCTCTCTCTCTCTCTCTCTCTCTCTCACTGCTTCTCTCTCTCTCTCTCTCTCTCTCTCTCTCTCACTGCCTCTCTCTCTCTCTCTGCGCGTGTTTCTCTCTCTTACTGCTTCTCTCTCTCTCTCTGCGCGTGTTTCTCTCTCTCACTGCTTCTCTCTCTCTCTCTGCGCGTGTTTCTCTCTCTCTCTCTCTGCGCGTGTTTCTCTCTCTCTCTCTCTCTCTGTGTGCGTGTGTCTCAATGTCTCTGTTCCTGTCTCCCTCTTCCTCTTTTCTACTCTGTCACTCTATCTGCCTCTCACTCTCTCTCAGTGTGTCTCACTGTCCCTCTGGCACCCTCTCTGTCTCTCCCCTCTCTCTATCCCACCACTATCTCTATATCTCTCTCTAGCCCATGCACCATATCTCTCTCTCCCTCTCTATCCCTCTACTATCTCTCTCTCTCTCTATCCCCCCACATCTCTCTTTCTCTCTCTCCTTCTCTATCCCCCCACCAGCTCTCTTTCTATCCCCCACCATCTCTCTCTCTCTCTATCCCTCCACCATTTCTTTCTCTCTCTCTCTCTATCCCCCCACCATCTCTCTCTCTCCCCCATCCCCTCCCCATCTCTCTCTCTATCCCCCATATCTCTCTCTACCCCCCCACCATCTCTCTCTCTATCCTCCACCATCTCTCTCTTTCTATCCCCCTGCACCATCTCTCTCTCTCTCTATCCCACCACCATCTCTCTCTCTCTCTCTATCCCCCCACCATCTCTCTCTCTCCCCCATCCCCTCCCCATATCTCTCTCTACCCCCCCACCATCTCTCTCTCTATCTTCCACCCTCTCTCTCTTTCTATCCCCTGCACCATCTCTCTCTCTCTATCCCACCACCATCTCTCTCCCTCTATCCCCTCCTCTCCCACCATCTCTCTTTCTCTCTATCCCCTCATCATCTCTCTCTAGCTCTATCCCACCACCCCCCCCCCCCCCCCCCCCCCCCCCCCTCTCTCTCTATCCTCCACCATCTCTCTCTCCCTCTCTCTCTCTCTCTGCAAGCAACTGGTGAGAGCGTTCGCGGCCCCATGTCAATACTGCATCGTTCCCATCCTGCACAATTAGACCGAACAGCCTCCAGTCTTTGGGCCACTTTCCTGCGCAGGTTATTATTCTTTTGTAGAGGGACGTGAACGAAACAGCTGTTACATAATCCAGAGAAGAAGAAGAAACCGTAGCTTCCAGCGAGTGATGTCAGGCTAGGTCTCTGTTGGGGGTGGTGCTTTACAACTGATTATTCTGAAATGTGTCTTTTTTCTGCTTTTTTTGCTCTGACAATTACAAGGAAGAGGAAGGCTTATTGAAATGCTGTTTGATTCATGGGTTTTAAAAGTCAATCCGCTTTCATTTCATTTCATTGCATAGTCTGCTAATTAATCAGGCTTGTCTCGTCTCTGGGGTCTAAAGAATGATCCCGTCTTTGCTGTAGCTTTATGTCCAGATGAGGTCATTCCTTTTCCCCCATTGTCTGCACTTGCGTTTTACACACAGTCCCCACTCTGCGTATACTGTATTTTCCACTATTCTCAAAAGTGCGTAATGGTGGTCATTTCTGTCAAGGCGAGGAGGTTATGTCATAGCAACACATTGAAAAGTGTTTAAACTGTATTATTTGTTTCCACCTTAAACAAATAATCTGTAAACAAAGCGTGAGAACTGTTTTGTTTTTTGTTTTTTTTACAGACATGTCGAGATCATTTTGAGTCTCTCCGTAAGAACTCGAGACAGGCCGATGAAATGCGAGCTTAGGCAAATCTGATACCTCGACAATAGACCCACACACACACACACACACACACACACACTGCATAAAAGAGTGGAGGAATGCCATGGCTTGGGCTCAACAGCACTCAACCGCTCATCAATTTCTAATCAGCTGCATCCACCCCCACACCATCGCAGGAAAAGCACATGCTCCTACTTAATATATTGTTTTTTTCTCAACAGAAATCACAAAACAAGTACAACAAATAAAATTGCTTTCTTATAGTTGTATGATATAGAACAGGTGTCTTCTCTGTTCTATATCTCCCTATTTTTTGTCTACGGAAAGTACCTCTCTGGGTGAAAAAGGTCAGACTTTTTTGCACCCAGAGAGGTACTTTCCGGAGACAAAATAGGCATAGAGCAACTCCTTTATGTAGCCTGGTCGTACCATACCATGGCACTAAGGTCCGGATGTGCTCCATGGAGCTCCGTTAACAGGTGGGAGGGGTTAACTACATCTGCAGATGGAAACGAGGGGATCTGAGTTTTCCGTGACGTATGTAACGCGCCCGAGTGAGTGAGGCATTTAGCATTTAGCCTCACTTTAGCATTTAGCCTCACTTTAGCCATCTCCTTTGCTGACTGAGCCCGTTGGGAGTATAGAGCCACAACATCTTTGTCAGTAATGAAATACGCTAAACATTCCTCTTGCTCCGGCGTCAGTTTCTTGATAACTGGAGACGAACCAGAACAGATTACTTTACTATCGCCTTCGCTGTCATTGCCAAACTACAATCAGCAAATTCTGCGCAAACTCTTGACGTCACCGACACCGACCTACAACACCTGACTCCGAATGGTCGGACACCTGAATAGTTGGAGGGGATTCAACCGAGGTAACCGCAACCACATGGATCAGACCCAGATGTACAGAGTATACAGATGGCTACGACCAGGCTACTCCTTTATGTGCTCCTGGGAGAATATATATTATATACAGTCATTAAATCAACAATCATTATTTATCATCACATATTTGTTGCTTTCCTCTAGTTGTGAGCAGGTGAGAAACATCATTCTGAAATATCCAGTATATTATTTGGTTTGTTCATTTCTAAATCCTTTGGGGAGCTACCTGGAAGGGGGCGGCGAGCTACTGGTGGCTCCTCATTTACAGGCTGGACACCCCTGGTAAAGAAGAAATATATATGTGAATCCACCAAGAAGACAAGAATGACCTTCCTAAACTACTTTCAACTATTCTGAAACAGTAGGATTCAATAACATATAAATATATATACTGTACCCGGACCAATTTAAGAGTATTATTTTATTCTAATTTATTTCCATCTCCATGTTGTGTAAAGTGAACAGGAAGTCCAGTGGGGAAGGCTTGTGTTTGATAAATAGGAAATGCCAGGATATGACAGCAGTAGTTTTGTTTATCATTTGGTCGGTCATTAGTTTAAAGCAGTAAAACCACATTGGAATACTTGAGTGAAGCAGGGTCATCATCAGACCGATTGTTGCAGATTAACTGTTTGATATTATGTATTTACACCACATCTTACAACCTCACACCTCAAACAGAAGTGAACGCATGAGGTGAGAGCAGACAGCTTCGTGTTGACAAAACCAGCCTCTGTTGTCTGAGCACGTAGCCGCGGGTATTAACCGGGGGTATTACTGTTTGTGGGTTTACAGGTGGGAAACTTGTTGTGTGAGCAGCCGCCCACAGAAGCATCAGCGCCGGGGGATTTTGTGCAACGATTGGCTCAATAGTGGGATAATCCCTCCGAGCTGCAGTCTCACATCTCTGGGAAAGCTGCCACCGTGGACCAATAGTGTGTCCGTCCACTGCTACACTACCCTTTGCTCTATTGCCCCTGTAGGGAAATTCGTCCTCTGCATTTGACCCATCCTGCCATGATGTCACTAGAGGGCAGTGGTCACCGTAGGGCAGAGGTGTCGAACTTATTTTGGTTAAGGGGCGAATACAAAATGAAAGTGCTTGTCACGTAAAAAATAAGTGAGTTTCATTGATTACCTTTTTTGGAATATGAAGGTTATAATTTGTTCAATTTCTGTGAACTGGACCAAAACTGGACCAAATCTTGAAAGTATATAGGAAGATTTTCTACTTCCTGGTGGATCATAAAAACTATTGGTCCTCCCAACTGTCAATCATTCTGGTGATTCGTGCTTGTCCAATAAGACCAGAGAGTTTTGCTCAAAAAGTGGAGAGGGCGTTTCTTTCCTGAGAAAATTGGGAAATCCTCCTTCATATTCATATCTTTAAGAAGAAATGTAAATGAAGACTCGTAAAAAACATAATAATACTAACTTATAATTGCATGTTACATTTCTTATGGAATTAAATGTTATGGTTGTTTTCTTAGTAATGGATAACATGCCATTGTCGCCTATTACCATTAATGCTGCTATTTAATATAATAATTTAAAATCATCTCAGGGGCCACTGGATATTGTCTCGCGGGCCGGATCTGGCCCTCGGGCCTTGACTTTGACACCTATGCCGTAGGGGGTCAGGACTGGATCGACTGTGACAATGTTCAAATCCAGGTTTATTGTGGTCAGGACTAGAGCTAGGGGATTTTTACCATTTGTACATGTCATGCATCTGAGCAATAATTTGAACCAATATCAGTGCGTGCAATATAGAACCACATGCGTCCACTGTCTCTTTACTTTCTCAGCCATAGACTGTAAATATTAACGGACGTAGTCACGCCTATCTCCGCCGTTAAAACTAATGTTCTATCAATTTTGGCTTCTATTTTCCAAAAGGGTCATGGGAAAATATGAAAAACGCATTTGCGCATGAGTTTGCCGACACTGCCTCTATTCATTTAACAAGTGCCTTCTGAAGTCCACAGCAGCTAAACGAGACTGGTCCAAAAATATATATACTCCCCTCAGCATTGACAGCATCTAGAACGTAGCTTTGGGCCAAGAACCAACTTTTGGACCATCCTGTGAAGACGTTTTCGAGAGGAAAGAAGACACCATAC